AATGGGGATGCTTTTCACAGTCTTGAGGGTATGGCTGCAGCAAGTGTGTGAGGGAAGTATATTGAAGATGATGGGAGATGTGGGCAGTACCAGATCATTGATTACCTCCTGCACAGGTAGAAGCTTGGCATTTTGAAGACACCAAAGAGAAGTAACTTCTAGCAGGAGGGCAGTTACTGGGCTGGAAGAAAGGATTCAATCAGACCCCTGCTTCAGATGACTCAGAATTGATGGGACCTGAGCAGTGGGTATAAAGAATAAGTCATCAACAGTAGATTTATCTGCAGATCATGGATTGCACCACGCCCATAGGGGTCGGGCTTCCCTGTTGACACAGTGGTAAAGAATCCGCCTGCCAATGCAGGAGGCACAAGAGACACAGGTTCGACCCCTGGGTCAGGAGGATCCCCTGGAGAAGAAAATGGCAACCTACTCCAGTATTCTTGCCTGGAAAGTTCCATGGACAGAGGAGCCTGGCAAGCTACAGTCCATGATGAGGTCACAAAAGAGTCGGACACAACTTATCAACTAAACAACAGCAACCATAAGGGGTCAGCTGAAATATGGTTTTATGGAGGGTGGAAGGAGGACTTCTGTGCAGAGGAAATCTCATGTGTAAAGCTCAAAGGAAGATTTTCAGTTCTTTGTTTTGGTGTTCTAGATTGAAGAGGGGCAAGAAGAAGCTATTAATTATGATGGTTTCATGAATGTATACACAAAGGCAAAACTGATCAAATTTTGTGCAGTTTGTTGTGCTTCAATAATATTTCACGGTTTAAAAAAAACAAGGCTATTATCTAGTAATATTGACCTTAGTTATTTTTAACAACTTTATTGAGATAGAATTCACATACTATATAATTCACCCATTGAAAGTGTGCAGTTCAGTAGTTTCAATGTTAACAGGTATGTGCAGCAATCACCGCTGTCCATTTGAGAACATTCCCATCCCCGCAGAAAGAAACTTCTAGCTGTTGTCGTCCACCTCCCACTTTCACCTGCCCTGGGCAACCACTCGTTGACTTTTTGTCTCCATAGAGTTCTCTGTAATGGATATTTCATATGCAGTATGTGGTCTTTCGTGACATATCTCTACAACATACCTCTACAACATGGATGAGCCTTGGAAGACTTATGTTAAGTGAAAGAAGCCAAAGTTTTCCAAGGTTCATTCAGTTTGTAGAGATATGTCAGTTCTTCATTCCTTTTTTATGGCCGAATGGAATTTCATTGAGTGGCTGTTCCACAATCTGTTTATCCATTCATCAGTTGACGCATACTTACATTGCTTCCACTTCAGTCTGTTGTAAGTTTAATTCTTACTGCTCTCTGATGGCAAGCAATGATCTTTGCAGTTATCCTGTTATTCTTTCCTTACTGTTTTCTACATTTGGATGAATATTTTAAAATAATGTTGAACATTTGGGATTTTTAAGTCCTAAATGTATAAAAAGGAGGAATTCGACCAAGACATTTCCTATGAGGCTTTAATTTGCTTCGATACCTTCTTTCTCCTCCAACTGGAATTTGAACTCTCCAGTCATAGAGAAATATTTCCTTTTGGATTTGAGTAAAATAAATGTATTTAGAAACAAGAATTGGGGTTTATTAAGAGATTAAAGAAAATGTTGGAAACGAGCAGTGCAGGTGTTTTTGTTTTAACTTCTACACAAGGCTGTTTAAAAGAAAACATTTAGTGGCTGAGCTAGATGGGAGAGGTGGGAAATACAATAAGATGTTCTAGGAGCGGAGAGGAGACAAGAACCAGGGGCGGGTGGTTTCTGTGACAGATACAGGAGCCTCTGTCTCTCCTCCTGGTGAACGCAGGATGAGTGAAAACGTGAGAACTCTCCAGGTCCAAGTGGTGGTTGCTCTGTGAGAGTTGCGTGGGTTGCGGTGCCGTGATGCCGTGGAGCAGTCCCGCAGCACGTCCAGGTGCCTGCCTAGCAGATTTAGAACTGGTTACCATGGCACTGCTCAAGTCAGTCAGGCGTTGGAAACCCTTCCGGGATTTGTGAATCTGACGAGGTTACCGGCAGTAGACAGACTTCTCCCATCTCTCAGTTGTGATTACCCCCACAAAGCTTTGAGTTGGCATCCGTTTATGTCTAGGTCAAAACCACCGAGGTTGTGTTAAATTGTTCTCAACTATGTACCAAGAAACTNCATACAATAAACATTTTTTTACATATGATTTAACATATAAGGGCTATAGTTTCTAATTCCTAGAGATTTTACACATGGGATAGTTGACAACCAATAGCATTTATCATTACTTAGGAATAGGATAAATAACTCTTGTAAGCAATTTTGTTTTGAACATACTAAACTTTATATAATATATGTGGTGAAAAACTTGGACATTTCCTCAATTTTAGTTAAGAATTTACTTGTATTATTTATTTATGTCTGTGTATGTATATTCACATATAAATACATATCTGTGTGTACATATATCAATGTATATATAAGATGCATCACTTTGCCAGTGGGCCTTTTGGAGACATTAGTTTCATGAGCATTGTTGCAGGTTTAGTCAGCATTGTTTATAAGTCATGAGTATTTAACTTTTGTAGTGATTTCTCTTAATAGTAAAAGTTAATGTAATGTAAGCTAAATTATGTGATGACTACTGTATTTTGGTGAAAAAATTGCCTTTAGGAAAAATTAATGATATTTATTTAAATTATCGTGCTAAATTAGCACTTACCCCCTATTTTTTACACGCCTCCTCCACCATTTCTAGCCGCCTTAGTACCCCTGCCCCTCAAGATACCCAGGTTGCCTTAAAGCTCTACTATTAGAGTGACTTTCATTTAAAAGCTAAATTTTAAATGGTAGATGTCTTTCCTGCTGTTTTAATTATTTAAATTGGGATGAGTTAAATATTTTTTAAGAATTCTGTTAAGTGACACAGAAAACCATTTATTGGTATTAAAATTTTGTTTTTAGTTTAAAAAATATAAGTAGATTTCTGTTTAAAGTTTTTTTTTTTTTTTTAAGGAATTACATGTTGTGTATTACCTATTTCATGGCATTAAGGACGATTTCCTGTTTTTTGGCCCTTATTAAAAATTATGTCTCATCCTACATTACATGCATAGCAAACTTATCTCTAGAACAGGTAAACACTGTTATACAGAATATTGTTCCTATTAAGTTATACTAGTGTTTCCTCCTGAGAACTAGTCACTTCATTTATGAACTATTTGAATGTCTTTTTTAGGTACTGGGGATAGTACAACAAACAAAAAAAAATTTCTATTCACACTGAGCATGCTTTCTAGTGACTAAGACAGACAAATGAAATTTTAGGTGGTCAGTTAAGTGTTTTGAGTTTAAAAAAAAAAAAAAGAAGCTTTATGATTTAAACAGTAGCTGTAATTTGAGACAAAGATCATTGTGCTTCTAGATCTCACCCACAGGAAATTTACCATGTCAAAGCTTAACCTATGAAAATACTAACAGTTCCATTCACAAATAGGGGTTAACCTTATTTAAAATGGAAAAACAATTAAAAGTTCGTCTGCAGACAAACCTTGCTGTAGATTTCAGTCTTCACTCAGCACAGCAGACAAAATGAAAGCCTGAAATGTACCATGTAAGATAAACATTCCTTTAGAAGAAATTGCTTAAAGTTTAGTAGGAAACTGCCATTGAAACTTATTCAGTGAGTTTCTTGATGGTTTACTGTGTCCTGGGGGCCCAGAAAACATTTTCAAGGGCTGTCCTTCAAATTTTGCAATAAAATTGATGAGTACTTGTTTACTATAAACGAATAGAAGCTTAGTTTGTTTTACTTTTTAAGAAAAACTTGTTACAGTTCTTAGGAGCAAAAGATAGTTGAATTTGGTTTATACTGATGAGGTGTATGCCTGCAGTTAATAGTATGATAAAATTTAGTTACTGTTTTAACAGCCTTTTGTTACATTATCATGCATGTGTAATAATGCAGCCACAGGAAAGACAGTTTCCAGTTGTACTTTTTTCCAACCCATTCTAGGCTTAGAAGACTCTTAGTATAGATGCACTTCTTTTTATATTTTTCTACTGTTTAGGAATTGATAAACCATTTAGATTAGTCTTTAATTTAGATTAGTCTTTAGTTCAAGACTCCAGGCAGGATATCTTTCTTCATTTTGCTGGCCTGCCTTGAGAGTAGTCTGTTCTGATGCATCCTTTAAGCTGTAGAAGGAAGTTCTTTAAAAAGGAAAATCTTAAAAAATAAACCTTAGCTTGGGCCCTTCTCTGCAAGGAGAAGGTGTGACTGTGTGTTGGTGGTGTGTGTATGAGAAACACGCGTGCCTTTGTCCCCCCACCTCAGAGCAAGCGGCTGTAGCTCTGAACACTGGCTTTCTGTGCCTTTTGTTGTTGTTCAGGTGTCAAGTTGTGTCCAACTCTTTGCAGCCCCGTGAACCTCAGCACACCAGGCTTCCTCAGCCTTCACTATCTCCTGAGTTTGCTCAGACTCATGTGCATTGAGTCAGTGATGCCATCCAGCCGTCTCATCCTCTGTCCTCCCTTCTCCTTTTGCCTTCAGTCTTTCCCAGCATCAGGGTCTTTTCCAGTGAGTTGGCTCTTCACATCAGGTAGCCAAAATATGGAAGCTTCAGCTTCACCATCAGTCCTTTCAGTGAATATTCAGGGTTGATTTCCATTAGGATTGACTGGTTGGATCTTTGCAGTCCAAGGGACTCTCGAGAGTCGTCTCCAGCAACCAGAATTCACAAGCATCAAGTTTTCAACGCTCAGCCTCCTTTGTGGGCAGCGCACATCCGTACATCTTGGTTAGATCAGCGTGAAGTCAAGGGCCTCTGGAGAGGCAGGAGTGAAAACCCACCAGATGCTCTCTCTGGGGCCCTTCTCGCACTTCTGTAGTCCCAAGTCCCGGTTAATTTTAGGGGGCTCATTTCCATCACAATTACTTAAAAACCTTCTCCTGCCCTTGCTAATAACACAGGAAACTGAAAACTTGTAATTTTGTCTCCCCCTCCTGATAGGTGCTGGATAGTTTACTAGTCCAGTATGGAGTGGTGGAGAGCTGTGAGCAAGGTACATGTCTTCTCAATTGCTTTCAAATTTGTAAAAGGAAGAAAGTAGAAAGAAAACTAACTTCTTTTCCCTCTTCTTTTCTTCTTCCTACAGTGAACACTGACTCGGAAACTGCTGTCGTCAATGTAACCTATTCCAATAAGGAGCAAGCCAGACAGTAAGCAGTTTGAAACTTCTAATCGCTATGTAATAACAAGGTTAAATATAGTACTTTAATTTTTGGCTAGTGGGTAGCAGACAACTTTATTTTGTGAAGTTTGACCTTGCACATCTTTTTAAGTTTGAATGTCTGATAAGAATCTACATTGGTTAAAGTTTTATTACATTTTCAATATAATGTTAATGCCAATAATAGTTATAATATGATGCTGAATTATATACTGTTTGCAAAATGTTCTGCACCCGGGTATCATTGCCAAATTAAGTTAAAGACCTTTTTTCCCCTTTTTATTGGTATGATACATACATTGTTGCTGTTTTTCCCAAAGCTGTTAAGTTGATCATGTGTTAAATGTTACGTTTACCTGTTCACTTATTTTTCTGATAATTACCAAATGTCATTTAGAAGTGTGTAGGCATGGGACTAATGTAATTTGGTGGAAAAAAATATTCCAATGCAACAGACAGGCAAAATTTCACAGATCAAAAAATGTCCCCTAGGAAAAGATAATTCTGTAGGCTTGGGAATAATCTAACAAACTGATTGACCACTGGAGAGAAGAAATGAGGTTCCCACAGATACTGCTTTTGACTGGTCTGCTCAGAACAGAAACGTGGACGGTTGGCACATGGGGTGCCCAGTCGTGCTCATGTTCAGGCGGAGCCAGACTGTCCTCTCTGTGGGGGAGCAAGGGCCATGCTGACGGACCCTGAACCCCAGAGGGGAAGGGGTATACAGCCAGGTAACCAAAGGCAGTGCTCGCCCATGCAGGGACTGAGAAGCAAGATGGGGCTGGGGAAGGAGATGGAAATCTGCATAACACAAGGGGAACTTTTGTTTTTAAAAGTCGGTAATAGGGAGGGGGGATCGGGATGGGGAACACATGTAAATCCATGGCTGATTCATGTCAATGTATGACAAAACCCACTACAATATTGTAAAGTAATTAGCCTCCAACTAATAAAAAAAAAAAAAATAACACATGTAAATCCATGGCTGATTCATGTCAATGTATGACAAAACCCACTACAATATTGTAAAGTAATTAGCCTCCAACTAATAAAAAAAAATAAAAATAAAAGTCGGTAATATTTACATAGCTCAGAATTTTTAAAGTCTAGATGTGTATACTGCAAATCTTCCTTCCAGTGTGGTTCCCGAACTGCTTTACTTTGCTTCTTTGGAGATAACCATATAGAAGACTAGTATATCTATGTATTCTTCCTCCTTTTTTACACAGATGATACCATAGCATTTGAGGGTTTTGTACATATATAACATATCTTTTACAGTTGCATAGAATTTGGTTGTATAGATGTGGAATGTTTTAGTCTCAAATTAGATTTTTAGGTCTCTTGCAGTTCTGAGCAAAGATGTAGTGAATCCCTTTTGCAGTCATTTTGCAAGTTTGTAAGCACAGTCATAGGTTAAATTCTTAGAAGTAAATTTGCTAAGTCAAGAAGGGTGTGCCTTTTTTGTTGGATATTGATGAGTTTAAATTTCCCCCCAGCACTATGAGAGTGTCCATTTCTCCTTAATTTTCCCTAACACAGGGCTTTATCAAACCTGGCCTGTCAGGTGAGTAAAAATAGTATCTAATCATGTTAATTTCACATTTTTCTCAGAAGCCAGACTCGAGATTCACTTTTGATGCTTTAATTTGAGACTGTTAATGTATATTTAAAATTTTCTTTAAATTGAAGTATAGTTGATTAGTAGTGTAGTATTAACTCTGCTTTATAGCAGAGTGACTCAGTTTTACACATATATGCATTCTTTATTCAATATTCTTTTCCATTATGATTTATCTGAGGAGACTGAATATAGTTCCCTGTGCCAAACAGGAGAACCTTGTTTACCCATTCTAAATGTAACAGTTTGCATCTACCAACCCCAAATTCCTGGTGCATCCCTCCCCCTACCCTTAGCAACCAAAAGTCTGATCTTCATGTCTGTAGAGACTCTTAATAGATTTAAAATATTCAAATTTTCCTTCTCTTTGTACCTTTCATTTATTTAACATAAATGTTAACAGTTTATATGCTTAGTCATGTCCCACTCTTTGCGACCCCATGGACTGTAGCCCACCAGGCTCCTCTGTCCATGGGATTTTTCAGGCAAGAATATTGGAGTGGGCAGCCATTTCCTCCTCCAGGGGATCTTCCCAACCCAGGGACTGAACCTGTGTCTCTGGAGTCTCCTGCATTGGCAAGAAGATTCTTTACCACTGAGCCACCTGGGAAACCTCAACAGTTTATATGAAAACATAGAATTGTAGTATGAGTTCTAAAATAAGCTGATGTCTCACAGAGTTTATTCTTTAATCATGATGTGAGAGGAACAACAGGAAAATTTCACACTTTATACCTGAAGTAGAGTAGGGATAAAAGTGTGCAGTGAGAAACACAGGTGCTCCATTCATGTATATGATTCAGTTTTTACAAAGAGCTCTACTAAATACTTGATAGAGCCAGCTCTCTGGTAGATGGAAAATAAGGGATGACATGATAAAACCCAAGGATATTTGAGGATTGTCAGAGGCCAGTCCCAGTTGCCTCACTTGATGATTTATTACGTGAGGCTAGCTTGGTAAAGAGGGAAATGCTTAGTGTAACTAGTTATTTAGCCATGTGGGAGAATGTCTGTTGGAGGATACCTACATAGCTTTCCATAGCTTTGAAGAGATTCAAAGTGGGCTTGAATGGGGACAGGTTGACATTTAGCACCCCTACCCCCCTTAAAAAATACCGAAGCATTTGGAGTACAGGCACAGGGTAGGCGGCTCGTCAAGGCAGAAGACTTGCCTGGCAAATGTGGAGACACTGTAATTCTAAAAGTACTTTGTGATGATTGTTAGAGATCGTCAGGATCCTGTGGATCACATGGAGGGAAGAAAAGACTGTTAGGAGTTTGTGGTTTAGGTAACTATAGCATCTAAACAAATCAGTTGGGCATTTCAAGGAGGGAAAGTCATCATGTCCTTTATTCTGGTAGTCAGTTCATTAACATTTATTGAGTGTCAACTACTGACCAAAGGTTGCCAATGAATAAAGGCAAAGTTTCTGTCCTCAAGGGTGTGCCCCCTGGTGCTGGAAGAATATTTGGAGAGGGATTACTTGATTTAATTCTTGTCCAAGTTGAATTTTCCTTTTAAGAAGCCTGGGTTTTCTCCACCTCAAGAATTTCAAAGATCAAAGAGAATTAGACAATAAGTGAGTATTCATAGGAAGTTAACAGAATGGACAAATCAGTTTTGTGGACAGTGTTATGAAAGCTATTAGTTTTCTAGCAAGTTTTTTTTAAAAGATAGGAGGTGCACTGTCATTTTTAAAGCAGAATTAATTGTATTTGAGAGGCATTTGATAAAGTGGAGAAAGCATAGACTGAAGTCCGGCAGCTCTGACTTTAACCGTAACCTCTCTGAGCTTCAGTTTTCTCAGCTACAAAATGAGGGCTGACAAGAAGCGAATATGTCTGTGCGTATATGCCCATGTTTATAGACGGTGGTCTTACCAAATGGCCTGGCACCCAGTAAGTAATAATTCTGGCTCAACCCTTTGCTTCTGGGCACTGAGAGAGCAGCCAGACGTGGCTTGCGCGGGGGAAGGCTGGTCCATTCAGGACTTGCCTGCTGAACCCAGCGAGCCTGTTCTGAACTCCACCAAGACTGTCTGCTGCCTCAGCTAAGCTGGCATGATTTCTTCCTGCCTTTCCCATGGCGCCCATCCAAAGCTTACTTCCCTAGATGATAAGGGCTGAGTTGACATTCCTAGTTGACTTCTTTTCATTTTCCTTAGCGTGTGTTAACACAGGCCTCTCTGTAACTGGGCTGTGCTTGTGGAGGTGTGAGTACAGTGTGGAGACTCAGAGGGGTCATTTCCAGAGTTTGGTTCCATGGAATGAACTCCCTGTGACACTTTTCTAGCTGTGTCTCTGCTCAAGTTAATGTTCCTTAATATAATCCTATCTGTGAGATGCAAAGGTAGTAAGTCAATAGCTATTAAACATTTACCCAGCATTTTTCACTGCTTTTGAGAATGCCCTGTTATTGTACAGGATACTTCATTTCAGATAATAACTGGAGTTATTATAACCCTCAGGAGTTAGAGACCTAGTTCAAAAGCCTCTTTTTACTTAAAGCTCTATGAATGACACATTTCTTTCTTTTTTTTTTTTGATAATGAATGACACTTCTAAGAGGATTCCTCAGTAAGGCGATGTCTCTAAGACAGAATTTAACATGGAAATTCCTGCCACCTTGTGGATAAGAAAAAAATCAAAAGTTAACAGTGCTAATAGTACTAGGAAATACATATATTTGTTTTAACCACAAGCCTCAAATAATAATAATAAATGAGTAAGAATAATAAATAAGAATAATAAATGAGTAAAAATAATGAAAATGTATTTAAATCAGGAATATGTATTTAGTGTTTCTTGTTCTTGGAAGCAAGACAGCCTTGGATCTCATGGATAACCTGTTCCTTCCATCTTCTGGGGATGCTCAGATAACAAAGACACTAATTCATTGGAAGATTTGTCATGGGTGACAAAGAAGTAACCCTTCAGAATTTCTACATATTTAGTTCTTTTTTTATTTTAGAGTTGCTATTTCTTTTCTTTTTTTTTGTATTTAGGTCTGTTTGTCATCTAGTTCAGTTCAATACGGTCGCTCAGTTGTGTTGAACTCTTTGCGACCCAGCGGACTGCAGCATGCCAGGCCTCCCTGTCCATCACCAACTCCCAGAGTTTACTCAAACTTACGTCCATTGAGTCAATGATGCTATCCAACCATCTCATCCTCTGTCGTCCCCTTCTCCTGCCATCAGTCTTTCCCAGCATCAGGGTCTTTTCAAATAAGCCATTTCTTAGCATCAGGTGGCCAAAGTATTGGAGTTTCAGCTTCAGCATCAGTCCTTCCAATGAATATTCAGGACTGATCTCCTTTAGGATGGACTGGTTGGATACTTGAGCTTCCTCTAGCCCAGCGTTTCTCA